CATTTTCATTGCTGCACAGTATTATATTGCTGAATATACCATTATTTATTTATTTATTCTATTGTTGGTAGATGTTTTTACTACTTCCAGTTTTCAACTATTAACAGTAATACTGCTTTGAACATTCTTGTACATGTCTCCTGGGATGTATATGCACACATTTCTGTAGGATATGTAGTAAAAGAATAGAATTGTTGAGTCATAAGCTATGTATTAATTCAACTTTACAAGATGATGATGACGATGAATCTGGTGATGATGAAAACTGCTTGCATAGTAGTTATACCAATTTCTGTAATATGTTTGCTTCACATCCTGATTAATGTTTGTCAGTCTTTTAAATTTCAGTCATGGTTGTGTTTATGTGTAGTGATATTTCATTATAGTTTTAATTTGCATGGTCCTGATTCTTAATGAAAATAACTTTTCATATGTTTTGTTGACATTTGGATATCCTCTTTTATAAAGTATCTGTTCAAATCTCTTGCCCATTTTTCTTCTATTTGGTCATTTTTCTTTTTCGTATTGATTTCTTTATATATTCTGGATGCTACTCTTTTGTTTGGTAATATACTAGTTGGTGTCCCTTAATAAGATAATTTCTTAATTTTAATATCATTTTTTCAATTGGTTAAAATAAGTGGGTTTTGTCTTCTAAGAAGTATTTCCTATCTTAAGGCCATGAAAATACACTCCTATATTATTTTCTAGCAACTTTGTTATTTAGCCTGACATATTTAAATCTATAATCCACCTGAAACTTAATTTTTGAATAAGCTGTTAGATACGGTAAAAGTTTCTACTGTTTTCCATCACCACTTATGGAAAACACTATTTTCTCCACAGCTCTGTAGTGCCATCTTTTCATAAATCATGCCTAATATATAGGGATCTGTGCCTGAGATCTCTATTCTGTTCCATTGCTCTATTTGTTTATCCCTTGCCAATACTATACTGTCTTAATTCTTGTTGTGTTGTAAGTCATGATACCTGGAAAAACATGTCTTTCCACTTTGTTTTTATTCTTCGAGTTTGTCTTAACTGTTTGGTTGGGTTTTTTTTTTCTTTTTTTCTTTCTATATCAATTTTAGAGTTAGCTCAGTGGTGTCCTGGTTAATTGGCTCTCTAGGGGAAAAAAATCTCTGATTTATAGTATTTACCAATTTCCATTGGTTAAATACTCCCAGAATGGTTGGTTTCAAGCCACCACAAACACCACTATAACTATTTTGGTTTGGGTTGCATTGAATCTATACATCAGTCTGATAAAAATGACATATTTATAATATAGAGTTGTCCAGCCCATGAAAATGATATATTCTCCATTAATTGATATATACATGATATATATGATATATTCTCCATCTCTTCTTTAATTTCTCTCAATAATACTTTATAATATTTTTTTCTATTCTGTTTTGTAGAGATCTTGCTCATCTTCTTTAGTTTAACTTTATTACTAGAGTTTTGATATTTTTGATGATATATAAATATATTTACATATAAAATATATGAAATTTATATGTAAATTAAAAGTTTGTTTTTTAAGTGTTTGTTGCTGATATAAAGAAATGCATTTTTTAGAAAGGTTATATTAACCCTGTATCCAGCAACATTCCCTGACTCACATATACATTTTAAAATTTATCTGTACTTTTTTTTTCATTTTCTATGTATGCATATTTTGTGTGTAAATGACAGTTTTATTTCTTCATTTTTATTCCTTATGCCTTATATTTCTTCTTCTTGCCTTGCTGCATTGTCTTCTAGTACGATGTTGAATAAATTAGTGACTGCTGTCATTCTTCTTCTATTCCAGATTTCAGAGTAAAAGCTGTCAGCACTTTACTATTAAATATGCCTTTGCTATAGTATTTTTTTGTTGTTATTCATTTTGTTTTTGTTCATTTGTTTTTATACATGCCCAATATTGAATTATGGAAGTTTCCTTCTGGTCTTACTTTGCTAAGGGTTTTTACTTATATATGAATGGTTGCTGAATCTTATCAAGTGCCTTTTCTCCATCTATTTAGGCCACATTATTTTTTTCTTTTTTATGCAAATGTAATGAATTATACTAATCACTGTTTTAATATTATACCAAACTCAAATTCTAGATAAACTAGTAAATATGTGTTACTGGTTTCCGTTTGCTGAGTTTGTTTAAAATTTTTACATCTATGGATATGAATATGATTGCCTGTAATTTTCCTTTATCTTAATATCCTTGTCAAGTTTTAATATCAAAGTTATTCTGGTTTTGTAAAAGAAGATAGGGTATATTTCCTTTTTTCTATTCTCTGGAAGAATTTGGATTTATTTCTTGGATTTCTTTGGATTTGTTTATTTTTTGGTTGAATTCACTGTTAAAGAATTATATTAAAGAAAATAGGACCATTCAAGATTTAATTTCTTCTTGTTTTAGTTTTGGAAAGTTATATTGTTAGAAATTTCCATTACTTCAACATTTTCAAATTGGCAAAAAGTTGTCCATATTACCCTATTGTAAACTTTTCCAGATCTATGTAATCTATGTCCATGTCCCCTTTTTCTTGCTGATAATGATTTTTTCATGGCTTTTTCTTTTTTTCTCATTAGTATCAATATGAGGTTTTAAAATTTTTGCTAATGTCCTAAAAGAAATAATATATGAACTTCATTGATCTTCTCTATTATTTATTTTCTATATAATTTATGCTAACTTTATTTCTTCCTTCCCTCTACTTTCTTTGGATTTTATTTTGTTGTTTTTTAACTTTTTGAGACAGATGCCTAACTCATTGACTTTTAGCTTTTCTTCTTTTTGAATATGTGCTTTTTAATGCTCTAAATTTTCTCTAAGCATGACTCTAACTGTATCCTACATATTTTCATACTTGGTAATTTTATTAGCCTTCAGTTAAAACTATTTTATAATCTTCAATATGTTCTCTTCATTGAATCCCGATTTACTTAAGCATATATTTTCTTAATTTCTAAATTAACAGGGATATTCCAGTAGAATATTTGATACTAGTTTCTAAATTAATTGCACTGTGACCCTAGAATATACTTTGTATGATTTTAGTTGCTTGAAATTTGTAGAACCTTACTTTGTGGTCCATAACATGGTAAATTTTTGAAATGTTCCAGGTGTACTTAAAAAGAATGTGCATTATTCAGTTTTTGTGTGTATTATTTTATGCATGTTAATTAGGTCAAGTTTACTCCTCCTGTTATTCCACTGTATCCTAACTGATTTTCTGTTTGCTTTTATTATAAAGAGAAATGTGTTATAATCTTACACTCTAACTTTGGGTTTGTCTGTCCCTTTTTACTGTCAATTTTATGTAGCTTTTATTTTAAGGCTATGTTATTAGATACAAACAAATACAGAATTTTCATAAAATATTTTTCTTACTTTTTGCCTTAAGTTTTATTTTATCTGATATTATGGTTACACAAATTTTATTTAATAGAAACTTTTAATTTTTTTTACTGTCAATCATTTTTCATCAGTAGATTTTTAGCTATCTCCCTCGTAAAAAGAATATAGTTTTTAATGCAGTCTGATAATGTTTATCTTTTAATTGGAATATTTAGTCTATTTATATTTAATATAATTACTGCTCTATTTGAATTTAAATCTACCATTCTATTATGAGCTTTCTATTTGTTCTGTCTGCTTTGTCCTTTTCCTCTTCTTTCGCACCTTCATTTATATTGATAAAGTTTAATTATTCCATTTTCCTTCTATTTTCCCCAAAGTTTATACGCTCTTACTGTTCTTTCAGTAGTTATCTTACAGACTATAGCATATATTCTTGGCTTATCAAAATCTAGTATTAATTGCTTCTTTCAGATTCTACCCAATGCAAGTAGATCAAAGACATTAAAATAATTTAATATCACTTGCCCTCATCTTAATTAGATTGATTTAATTTCATTTATCTTCCCTTTAAGCGTACATACCATTATTTGGTGAATTTTATTTATATACATATTATAAGACCAATAAAACCCTATTATGACTCTCATGCATAGCCAATAATCTTATTTACTCACTTATTTAGCTCTTATAGCCAGGTTTCAAGAATAGAATAACCCCTCACCAAAAATATTGTTTAGTTGTCAATACTGATGATACCACACACATTTAAAGAGGGTATGAAAATGTTTATTACTTACTTAATAAAGCTGCCTGGGGAGAGCAGGGAAGATCTCCTAAGCTGGTCTCAAAAGCTTGGGAGAGTAGGAAAAGGAGACTAGCTTGGGGTTTTATGGTGGTTAGAGGGTGGGCTAAAATGAGGGTTCCTGTGTGTGTAAAGGGGCTTAAACAGTTTAAATTTCCTACTGGTACCAAAGGAGGGAGTAACCAGGCTTTCTTCTTAGCCTGTTCAGATATGGAGCAGAAAGGGAAGAGGGAGGGGGTGTAGCTTAAAAGCTTTTAGCGGTCAAAATATCAAAACATGGAGCCAGACTCCTTATTACCTTAGCCTTTCCATTGCTCTTAATGACCTACATTTCTAAGCTTCCATCTGAGATCTTTTTCATTCTGCCTGAAGAACATCCTTTAATATTTATTTTAGTGTGTCTGCTTCTGGGAAATTATCTCGTTTTGTCAATCTGAAAAGACTTTTTTTCACCATCAAATTCAGAAGACATGAGGTTGACAGGTGTTTTAACACTTTAAAGATAACATTCCATTTTTAGGTGATGTTCATTGTTTCTGCTGAGGAGTCAGCTTAAGTCTGATTATTACTCTTTTAAAGGTAATAGTTTCTATAACTGACTTTTAGTTTAGTTTAGTTTTGTTTTGTTTCCCCATTTGGGGGTTTTAGCAGTTTTATTATTTAGTGCCTCAGTGTGGTTTTTTTTTTTTTCAGTTTTTCTTCCTGGGATTTGTAGTAATTCTTGAATAGATAGCTTGATGTCTTTCTCCAGTTTTAGAAAGTTCTCAGCTATTAGCGCTTAAAAATTTGCTTCAGTCTGATTATATCTCTCCTGTCTTTGTACTTCAGACCTATTATTTCTCTCCTCTATTTTTACGACTCCATTTAAATGTTACACCTTCTCACTGTATCCTCTATATCTCTTACCATCTTTTCTGTATTTTCTATCATTTCATTTTTACAGGGTTGACTGAGGATATTCCAGGTTATTAAATCTCTCTTAGATTGTGTATATTCTATCAGACCCATCCACTGAATTCTTAATTTCAGTTCTTATTTTCAGTTTCAGAGATTTCATTCAGTTTTTTCTTCCTCTGACAAACTTCTTACCTGTCTTTTATATTCTTGAACATGAGAAGTGATTTATTTTAAAGCCTTTATCTAGTTATGACTATTTCTGAAGCCCTTAAAGGTTAATTTCTATTGCTGTGGTTTCTACTAAAATTTTCTCATATTCTCTTTCTCCTCATGGAGCTTTTTTTTATCATGTACTAGAAGTTATAGCCTTGAATTGTTTATAGAAATAATGTGATACCTAAGATATATTAGTTCATTTAGAAAGGCATCTGAGAACTTCTGCAAGATATCTCAGGGCACAAGCATTCTTGGATGCCTAAAGACTCTAATAAATTGATATTACTTTAATTCTATTTCAAGGATAAAGATAATTCAAGGCTGAGCTACAACAATTTGTCTATTTCTGGCTTACCCTACTCCTTAGGATATATCCCTTTGTGGACTCATCCCAAAACAGGAGTATTCACTGTGTCTATCCATCACCTTGGGGGGCTCTGGACTAAAATCTTCTTCCTAGAGCCTCATGAAAATGTCAAGGGTTCACTCAGCCTCTCAGTTGCTTATTCCAAAATTAGAAAATTATACCAGGGGAAATGTAGCCCTAAATTTCAGTCTCACCTCCGGCTACCTTCCTCTCCTAGATCCTGGACCAGTAGTTCTTTATTATCTTGTTGGCTCTACATTACCTTCAAGATAAATTTTTTAAAAACATTTTGCCTGATTTTCTTTTTGTCTTTTGTGAGATATTGGACCAAGTTATATACTCTGACATTACTAGAAGTGGAAGCTGGTAGAATGAGTATTTTTACAATTTTAGTAGTTAATTTATGTAAATTTATACCAGAAAGATTATTAGCATATCCAAACTATTATTTCATAGATATAATTGCTTAGGATGAATAAAAAAATTAATCTGCCAGGGCTTCCCTGGTGGCCCAGTGGTTGAGAGTCCGCCTGCCGATGCAGGGGACCTGGGTTCGTGCCCCGGTCCAGGAAGATCCCACATGCCGTGGAGTGGCTGGGCCTGTGAGCCATGGCTGCTGAGCCTGCGCGTCCGGAGCCTGTGCTCCTCAACAGGAGAGGCCACAACAGTGAGAGGCCCACGTACCGAAAAAAAAAAAAAATTAATCTGCCAGTTTGAAGAATATTCAGGAAACAATAGATAATGATGGCAAAAACTATGAAATTAGGATGAAATTATTTATGGGAAACTACTGTAGCATAATTATAAGGTAGAACCTAGAGAGTTGTCCAGAGACAATGATGCATGGGGAGTGATAACATTCTAAAGAGTGACAACAAAGAGTAACTAGTTTTTCCTAGTGAGTGATTAAGGGCAGGTTACTAATCTAGGGAGTGATTAAGGGCAGATTACTAACTACAAGTGGCCCTTGAATAATATCCATATCTCATGCCTGAAGCTAATTAACATCTTGCCATTTTACTGATGGGAAAAACTTGGCCACATCTATTTATTCCCAAGTTCAGCAATAGATAGTCATTGAAAACAACACCAAAACATATGGAAGGGCATGACGGTTTAAGTGCCATCTATGTGGAATTTCTTTTGATCTTAATATTTTCCCATATTTTATTGAGACCCTGTATCTAAGATTCCAGGTTCAGACCCATATTCTAGTGATTTATTGATTGCAAGTTTGACAAAGACTAAATTGATTGAAAGTTTTCAGTAAGTCCTATGTCATTTTAATATATCAGGTATATAAATAACAGAAGAGAAATGTCAGTTTCTTAAATTACTTCAGTGTTACTGGTAATGATCTCAATTAATTCAAAAGTTGTGCAAACCAAAATGTGTTTGGTCTTAAAGAGTTGCAAACCTTCTTGGAATTATTCAGCCTCTACTGATATTTTCTTCCAGGAAATCCACCGTGGCCCTAATTCATTCCTCACTGGAAAAAGGCTTTCTGTAACATTGGGTTCAGAATTTTGTGTGCATTGTGCTGAAAATTAAGTACCTCTTTATTTGAATCTACGCTAATACTGTATAATAAAAAGTTAAACTTTTTTTTATCACTGGCATCTTTATCTTAGATTATTGGTGTTGTGATTGGCCACAAAGTGCCACCAAGACCCCAGTGGAGTCCTCTTTTTATTATGGGTATAAGAAAGTTGCAAATCTGTCACCAAACTTTAACTGTTTCCAATTATTTTTTGCCAGGTTTATATCTAGTGCTTTAATATACATATAGTACTAAAATCCTTTGCATTTTACTTTTGACTACACATTTTTTCTTAAAGCCAGGAAAACAATATGTAATTTTCACCCCCTAAGCTATCTGTTTTGCTACGTTCACTAGTATTCTTTTTTTTTTTTCATTGAAGTATAGTTGATTTACAGTGTTGTGTTAGTTTCAGGTGAACAGCAAAGTGACTCAGTTATATGTACATATATATATTCTTTTTCAGGTTCCTTTCCATTATAGGTTTTATAAGATATTGAATATAGTCCCCTGTGCTATACAGTAAGCCCTTGCTATTTATCTATTTTATGTATAGTAGTGTGTATCTGTTAATCCCAAACTCCTAATTTATCCCTCCCCCACCTGTGGTAACCATGTTTATTTTCCATGTCTGTGAGTCTATTTCTGTTTTGTGAGTAAGTTCATTTGTATCACTTTTTTAGATTCCACATATGAGTGATATGATATTTGTCATTCTTTGTCTGACTTAATTCACTTAGTATGATAATCTCTAGATCCATACGTGTTGCTGCAAATGGCATTATTTCATTCTTTTTTAATGGCTGAGTAATATTCCATTGTATGTATGTATACACACACACCACATTTTCTTTATTCATTTGTCGATGGACATTTAGGTTGCTTCCATGTCTTTGATATTGTGAATAGTGCAGCTATGAAAATTAGTGTGCATGTATCTTTTCGAGTTAGAGTTTTCATCTTTTCTGGATATATGCCCAAGAGTAGGATTGCTGGAGCATATGGTAACTCTATTTTTAGTTTTTTAAGGAATCTCCAGACTCTTCTCCATAGTGGCTGCACCAATTTACATTCCCACCAACAGTGTGGGAGCGTTCTCTTTTCTCCACACCCTCTCCAGCATTTATTTGTAGACTTTTTGATGATGGCCATTCTGACCAATGTGAGGTGATACCTCATTGTAGTTTTGACTTGCATTTCTCTAATAATTAATGATGTTAAATATCTTTTCATGTGCCTCTTGACCATCTGTATGTCTTTTCTGGAGAAATGTTTATTTAGTTCTGCCCATTTTTTGATTGGGCTGTTTGTTTTTTTGTTATAGAGTTGTATGAGCTGTTTGAATATTTTGGAAATTAATCCCTTGTCGGTCACATCATTTGCAAATATTTTCTCCCATTCAGTAAGTTGTCTTTTCGTTTTGTTTATGGTTTCATTTGCTGTGCAAAAGATTTTAAGTTTAATTAGGTCCCATCTGTTTATTTTGGCTTTTGTTTCCATTACTCTAGGAGATAGATCCCAAAAAATATTGCTGCGATTTATGTCAAAAAATGTTCTGCCTATGTTTTCCTCTAGGAGTTTTATAGTATCCGGCCTTACATTTAGGTCTTTAATCCGTTTTGAGTTTATTTCTGTGTATGGTGTTAGAGAATGTTCTATTTTCATTCTTTTACATGTAGTTGTCCAGTTTTCCCAGACCACTTATTAAAGAGACTGTCTTTTCTCCACTGTATATTCTTGCCTCCTTGGTTGTAGATTAATTGACCATAAGTGTGTGGGTTTATTTCTGGACTTTCTATCCAGATCCATTAGTCTATGTGTCTGTTTTTGTGCTAATACCATACTGTTTTTGTTACTGTAGTTTGTAATATAGTCTGAAGTCAGGGAGCCTGATTCTTCTAGCTCTGTTCTCAAGATTGTTTTGGATATTTGGGGTCTCTTGTGTTTCCATACAAATTTTTAAATTATTTCTTCTAGTTCTGTGAAAAATGCCATTGGTAGTTTGATAGGGATTGTATTAAATCTGTAGATTACCTTGGGAAGTATGGTCATTTTAACAATATTGGTTATTCCAATGCAAGAACACCATATATCTTTCCATCTCTTTGTGTCATCTTCACTTTCTTTCAGCAGCATTTTACAGTTTTTGGAGTACAGGTATTTTGCCTCCTCAGGTAGGTTTATTCCTAGGTATTTTATTCTTTTTGTTGCTATGGTAAATGAAATTATTTCCTTAATTTCTCTTCCTGATATTTCATTGTTAGTGTATAGAAATGGAAGCAATTTCTGTGTATTAATTTTGTATCCTGCAGCTTTACTGAATTCATTGATGAGCTTTAGTAGTTTTCTGGTGGCACCTTTAGGATTTTCTACGTATAATATGTCATCTACAAACAATGACAGTTTTACTTCTTCCTTTCCAATTTAGATTACTTTAATTTGTTCTTCTTCTCTAATTATTGTGGCTTGGACTTCCAAAGCTATGATGAATAAAAGTGGTAAGAGTGAGCATCTCTGTCTTGTTTCTGATCTTAGAGGGAATGCTTTCAGCTTTTCACTGTTGAGTATGATGTTAGCTGTGGGTTTGTCATATATAGCCTTTATTATGTTGACATATGTTCCCTCGATGCCCACTTGCTGGAGAATTTTTATCATAAATCGATGTTGAATTTTATCAAAAGCTTTTCTTGCACCTAGATGATCATATGGTTTTTATTCTTCAGTTTGTAAATGTGTATATCACATTGATTGATTTGCAGATATTGAAAAATCCTTGCATCCCTGGGATAAACCCACTTGATCATTTTGTATGATCCTT